CACGCAGCAGTAGGGGTAGCGGCCGCAGGTAGAGGTGGGAATGCCGGGCTGAGCCCTGAAGTGCAGGACAGTGGTCCTCTAGCCGGGCATCCTCAGCACACAGCCCGGACCGGAAGCCTGGAAGGGCTCAGGACTGAAAATCCAGGGTCGGGAAAGATGGGGAGAAGGAGCCAGAGAGAGGGGCCCTTGAGCCTTCAGGAAAACTCCTGTCTTTTGATTACAAAGAAAAGAAACCCAGTGCAAAGTGGCTCTGGGAGGAGGGAACTGGTAGGAAGATTGGATGTGAACTAGCAGAGGAGGGCGGGAAAGCCCACCGTGAGGGAGGTAGGGACGCACCACCCCTCCAGGTCACCTTGAGTGGCTCTGTCTCCCTTCTCCGTTTCCTCTTCCCTTCCTCCTGGTGTAAATCACTTCCTCCACCACGACCTTCTGGAAGCTCTGTATCTTGCAGCCCACCCTCTTGGAGAGAAACTGACACCCTCTCCCAAGTTAGAGAGACCCCAGGAAAGAATGGGGCGGCTGCCCACCCCTGGCCCATCAGAGAGCCGTCACGGGGCAGAATGGTAGCTCCTGGGGTCTCTGGCAGTTGGGAGGGATGGGTAAGAAGCTGGGGAGCTGGTCCCAGGAAGAGGCCACACCACTGGGGAGACACAGCACCAGATGCCCCCCGCAGCTGCTGCAAGCACAGAACAGTGACGGGCCCCGAGGTGGGAAGCTGGAGGCCAGGTTGGGGGGACCGTGATAATCCAGGCAAGGTGAAGGCCTGAGAGAGGGAGCAAAGCCCAAATGTCCCGACAGAGCTGGCACCAGCAGGTGCCGGAGTCACGGGCAACATTGGGCTCCCCACGGAGGAGGCGGGGAGGAGCGCCCTGGGGGAGTGGGGGCAGAGGAGGGGTGGGGACAGCAAAGGCCAGAGGTTGGATTCCTTCTGGGGACAAGAGAGCCTCAAACGCTGCTGCCAGGGGTTGAAAGCATGAGGCAGAGTCGTGCAGCACGTTGGGGCCACGCAAGTGGTGCAAAGCAGCAATCCTCGCAGCAGCCGAGACAGGAAGCACCCCAAGTGTCCGCCAGCACAGGAATGGATAAAGATGTGTCGCATACACACAACGGAATATTACTCAGCCACGAGGGAGGACATCCTGCCAGCTGTGACGCCATGGGTGACTCTGGGTGACATCACGCTAAGTGAAGTGTGCCAGGCACGAGACAAATACATGTTCTCACTTACGTGTGGAGTCTAAAATCCTCAAATTCGTAAAAGCAGAGCAGAATGCTGGTTTTCAGGGCCAGCCGGGGCAGGGAGGAAGAATGGGGAGGTGTCGGTCGAAGGGTACGAAGTCTCAGTTGTAAGACACGCAAGTTCCGGGGACCTCGCGTACAGCATGGTGATACAGTTAACGATACTGTGTCGTGTGCTCGAAAGCTGCTAAGAGGGTAGATCTTCAGTGTCCTCACCACAGAGAGAAAATGATCACTATGAGGTGATAGATATGTTAATTAGTTTGATTGTGGTGGTCATTTCACAATGTATACATATTATCAAAACACCAAGTTGTACATCTTAAGTGTATACAATTCCTATTGTCAATTTATACCTCAGTGACGCTGCTAAATAAACAAATAAATACAAATGGCGTCTGTGTGCCTCCCCCTTAAATCTGGACAGGCTCAGTGGCTGCTAATAGGCAGAAATGTGGCAGAAGTGACCCTGTGCTAGTTTCGAGGCCCAGGCCTTAGGAAACTGGCAGCTTCCACTCCCATTCTCTGGGAATCCGGCTGCCATGTTGTGAGCAAGTTCGAACAGTTCTGTGGAGAAGCCCTCAGGGAAAGGAGCCCGTTTATCAGCCACGTGATGGAGCCACGTTGGAAGTGGATCCCCCATGTCCCCCCCCCCGCCACCCCAGCTGAGGCCCCAGAGATCAGACACAAACTGTCCCCTCCAAGCCCTGCCCAGATTGCAGATCTGTGACCAATAAATGTTGTTTAAGGTTGTTTGGGGATGGTTGTTATACAACCATAGATACCGAGAACAGAATATCAATAGAATATGTCCACAGAGCTTAAAGTTAAAAAATGAAGAAGTAAGTCATTTAGAAACAGTGGTAAATGTCAACACAGAAAGCCAAGAGAGGGGAAGGTGGCTGCCTCTGAGATGGAAAAATGGAGGGAGAGAGACCGAGAACTGCTGTTTTCTGTTTTGTTGCAACAAACCTTACAGATCTATTTGATAGTTTAAAACTGTATTCACATGTAACTTGGATAAGAATAAAAACAAAAACAGACCACCACCCCCCCAAAAAAAAATACTTTCCTTAGCAAGAATGGATCTACAACTGGTTTAAAAGGCTTTTTGTACATTCAGCAACAGGGATGTTAAACAGTCCATCATTCCCGTCACTAAGATAAAATTCCTGCCAACAGGTTGCCTGATACTCCCAGTGAGTTCAAATGCCACCCAAGGCTTCTACTCAAGACTCAGGTGGCAGTCTGGGTCGCGACAGGTCTCAGTTGCCTCAGTGGAGCCGCTAGGGACCGTGTTGGCTCCATGTCTGAGCCAAGGTCAAGGTGTCCAGGTTGAGAAGGTAGGCCCTGGGCAGCGAGCCAGCCCAGAAGCCGCCTGCCATCAGTCAGGCCAAGGGGAGAGACAGAAATGCTGATGGGAAGGCTGCTGGCCCTGCGTGGTGGCTCCTCAGGAGGGCTGACCTTGGGCCCGGGCTGGGCACTGACCACACAGGCCCAGTGCACGGGTCAAATCACAGATTTCAGGGTCGATTAGAGTTGAGAGGGGGTTTTGAAGTAGGTGAAAGACGTAAGCCCCGGTGAATGGAAGGAGGAGAAAGACCCCTTTCACGGCAATAAAGAAGATTCTGGAGATGGGGGGGAGGGTACTTTAAGCACTTGGAATGATGACTTTGAATTTGCACATAACTGAGGTTACAAATTTAAAACCTACTGCAAATCTCTTTGAACCTTTTTTTGAGTTTTTATGGTTTGGGGATTTTTTTTTAATACATAGAAAGCAATTTTAGGGGGGAAGTCCATTTAAGTCGTTTATTTTACTTAAAGTTGTTTGCCTCAAACGGCTTTGTGAATGGCGTTGTGTAATGTTCACAGATCGTTCACTGCTCCGTTCTGGAAAGCCTTTAGCTAAATGTTGAAGAGGCAACAGAAACGGAGGTACATGCCTGCTCTCATATATTTCACCTTAGTAGATTTTGCCAACTAACCAAGGTGCTCTTAGGATAAGACTGTCCTGCTTCTTAGGATACAAAACTCAGAGTTACATTACT